AGAGAGAGAGAGAGAGAGAGAGAGAGAGAGAGAGAGAGAGAGAGAGAGAAAAGAGATAACAAAGGGTCCCCTTCACGTCAATTCGAAGGGCCCTGCGGGTACCTTGAATGACTCCTACGTTACATGCGGAGTCATCGATGGCCACTGCTTCAATTAGGAGGATGGTCTCGTCATCTGTGGAAGAGGTGGGGCAGACCACCAATATATGCTTTGGATTCGAGTTCAAGGCTGTAGCTCGGCAGTTATGGGTCACCAATTCAGCTAGAGCCTGTTCATGTCTCCAACGTGATTCTCAGGGCCTCCCTCCACCACTCACCAAATGGATACAATATTAGTAGAATGAATCTTCTGCTAAAACATGGAACCATACACCGCCATATGCTATGTCTTTGTGCATGTGGTGAGTAGTGGAGCAGGCCCCACTGTACATATTGAAACGGTATTCACCAGTTTGCAGTAACTGATGCAGATCCCAGGGCTCGATCCCTAGTTCCCCACCTTACCTGTATACAATACCTGTGTCAACCCGTAGATTTGAACCTGTGACCTGTAGGACTGCCAGTGGTAGGTAGGATCTCGTAGGTTACATGGTACAGGGGATTCGAACTGTAGATCTGTCGGGTAGGAGTCTAGACAGTCCAGAGGTCGTAGCTGTAGACTGTCTGAAGGGTCAAAGTCGTAGCTGCTACTTACCTGAAAGGGTAGAGTCGTAGCTGCTACAGTACCGAAAGGCCAAACAGATRGTTCTAGAAGTGGCCTTTCKGAGTCAGCCCCAGTTTRGGTMKAGGCMAGTGGGYAAGTGGTGGAAGTCCACCAYGCAGAGTCAGCAGTCCCAGTCCAGYSAGTCCGGTCCAGTCAAGCAAGTACCGTCTGGGACTGTGCACATCGTGGGCCAGGGAAACAGGGCAGACCAACGAGGCACAGAAGTATAAATCAAGAGGCTGCGCACAGCCATTCATTTTCATTCCTGCGGAAGCCATGCGGAAGCGCTGCCTCAGCGTCTTGTGTGAGGAGGTCTGCAGTGTGCCCGAAGACGAAGTGGGCAGAGAAGTGTAGTATAGCGATAGGGTAGAGGCAGCTAGCGCTGCCATAGCTATAGTAGTAGTGTGTGTGTGTGTTGTGTGCGTGTACAGAGTGTCGTGTGTGGGATATCCAAGGTGATCCCGTGTGTGAACAGTGGATGTTGGGCGCTCAGTCGCCATAGCCAGTGGAAGTGAACGTACCTGGAAGCCATATCTCTGTGTACTGTGTGGGCGCATGTCGCCAATTTGTGGTAGTGCTGTTCACGTGCATGAAAAGTGTGTTTGAGACGTGGCTGATTGAAATATTCCTAAGAAAACAAAAACAAAAGAGCTAGAGCTCCCTCCACCACTCACCAAATATATATATAATATTAGTTGAATGAATCTTCTGCTAAAACATGGGACCATACACCGCCATATGCTATGCTATTTCTTTTGTGCATGTGGTGAGCAGTGGAGCAGGCCCCGCTGCACGTATTCATAAGAAAAAGAAAACAAAAAAACGGAGAGAGCTACGGGCATCTTCATCCTAACCCATAACTGCCAACATGCAGACCTGAACGCCAATCTTCAGCATATATTGGTGGTCGGCGAGCCGTGGAAATGCAAGTTGTGACTTCTGCGAAGTTAGCCGGGCAGGTCGTTACTAGGCGACTACCCCCTTCGTGCGAACTTGCCCCACCACTGCGTGGGATTTGCAGAAGGGAGGGGGAAGGCCAGTTTCCATACCCCGCCCAAGAAAAAAGTTGGAATGAGCCCTATTTTATGCTTTGCCATTTTTGAAACTTCTGGGGGTAGGGCCTGCAGAAATTCAAATTCGGCAGCCCTTGCCCAAAAAAAAAGTTTGGGCCGGGGTCGTGGCCGCTTTGCGAGTTCGCGCGCGGTGTGTTTAACATTTTTGCCGAGTTGAGGACCCTAAGGAATGACAAAACCCGTACTTTTTTTTTTTTTTTTTGGACCTAATTTTTACAGTGCGGTGCGCAATGCATGCGCAAATCCGCGCACCGAGGTGCGCTGCAACTATGGCTTTTTGTCTTGGTTGGTTGGGGTTGACTTGCTGGCGCTAGTCGACTGTTGCGATGGGTGGTGTTGTGGCGGGGGATTGGTGCTAGTTTGGCTTTGTGAGTAGATAGGGTTTGTTGGTAGTTTCTCGCTTGTTTTCGTTTTCGTTCGTACAGCGTATGGATGGGCTTGTCCAGTCCGGTCAGTTGCCCCCCTTTGTAAGGGACGCGAGGCCGATTCCCGGATTGTATACTTTAGCCTTGGGCACTGGGCCCGTTCATCTAAAAAAAAAAAAAAAAAAAAAAAGG